AGTTAAAGGGGAAAAATTAAAAGAAACTGCAGTTCATTTGCATTTTTAAGAGTAATTTTGTTCAGGCTGCAGTTGTTCTGAATGCAATGTAACTTCTAAGTACCATCTCTGCACTGAGGCCACATCAGAGGCTGCTCTGAGGTGTTGGGTCCTCGGGCCTGTGGTTTCCAGCCCCAGCTCAGCTGGGGGTACAAGCAGCCCTGGTGCTGGTTTGACACTGGGGCAAGCACAGGATGGGTGTGTTTGGACATCCAAATAAAGGAACCAGATTATAGGCATAAATATAATTGTTATCCACTGCATTTACTACTGACTGTGATATTCCTGCTCAGCAGGGCTTGGTCAGGGAAGTGCACAAGGCTGCCTGGGCTGTGGGTGCTGGGGGATGGCAAAGCCACCCTGAGCTGTGAACAAAGAAGAGCTGGTCGGTTCTTCTGAGGGGCTGGGGGGCTGTGACTCTGCAGGGACACAGAAGCTCACTGGGCATTCCCTTCCATGGCATTCCCACAGCTCCTGCTCCCTGCCACACCACCCAGGACAGGACAAGCCTTTGGGGCTGAGCTGCAACAAACACCACTGAGCACATTACAAACAGATGCTGCTCACTGTGGAAAATGCACTCAAATTGCAGATCTCCCACAGAAAGGTGAAGAAGGGGGTGGAAACAGGTAGAGATGGAAGAAGACATATAGTTTTACTAGTCTTAACAGCAGGTGATGAAGCCTGTTTTTAATAAATTGGAAAAGGAACTGATAGTGCCTCTCCCCCATGTAAACAGGCCAAGAAACATCCATAGATTTACCCTCTCCTGTCTCCTCTTTTCCCAGTTACTACACTGTGCTGGATTAGTTTCTTTCACACCTCATTAGGACCAATAAAATATGTACAATTGTAAAGAGATCAAACAGAATTTTGCTCCCTTCAGCACCCAAACAACAACAAGCCAAAAAAAAGACCAAAGAACCAACTGAAGCCATACAGGGCCAGACAGAAATCTTCTTCCCCTCCCCAGGAAATTCCAGCTGGAGAGACCCTGTGCTCCACAGGGCTCCTGTGTGCTGCTGCCTCCCAGAGCCAAACACATCCCTTGGAAAAAGCACTGATTACACAAATACAGACTAATGAGAGGCAAGCAGGACCGATGAAGGCAGTTAATTGCTTATTGCACTTTCTTTGACTGGTCATTTCACTAATGAATAATTCAACAGCCACTGACACATAAAGTAATAACTCCCAATTTGCACTGAGCATCATTCATTAGGAAAAGGATGAACATCTCACCTACCCACCAGAAAGTACCAGGGAAACAAAGAGACCACCACCTTCACGTGTCCCCTCCCTAGGGAACGCAGCCTCCCGTGGAGGGGCAGGACCATCATCCCCTCCAGCCCCCATGGCCACCCCAGGGACAAGCTGTGCCTTTCAAAATCTGCCTCATTTCCAGCATCAGCTCTTTGGCATTTTGAATCACTGGGCACTACACAGAGCTGATAATCAGATTTACTGGTGGAGCTCCTCTGTCTCAGACCAAGCAAATCCCTTTTAATCCTTTTCTTAAACTCTTTCTTACAAGTGCTTACAACAGAGTTTATCTTTCAGCTTTGTGTCTAATTTCGGTTTCCAAATGTGTTTTCTTTTCAAACGAGGCTGTAGCTCATGTTTCTTGCTGACTGAAGTGAAGCACATTCCACACACTTGGCAAATATTCCAGCCCCCTCCCAGGCCACCTCCCATCCATGCACCATCCTGAAAGGAGCATCCAAACCTGGAAGACCCACATGCCAAGTTGGCCATTTTAGTGAGACAGAGCAAAGGCAAAGGGAGGAACAACCTCTTCCTTCCCAACAGCAGCAGATGCTCCCCATGCCTTAGTAGTGATCTTTGCAAGGGAAGTTACAGGTGATTTAAAAACCAACAGACAAAAATAAATAGCCCACTCCTTTTATTTATTTTTTGTAAGTAGGAGCTACAATCACTGCAACAAGAGATGAGATTGTTCTTCTCTGAACATCCCCTCATTACATCCCAACTCAGGCACTGAGGCATCTTTCAGGATGGCTGTAAATTATATAAAAGCCCAGCCTGAATCACACCAATTAATCTCTGCATCAGCAGCACCACTCATTGCTTTTCCTGCCCCTTCTGCACGTGGTTTTCTAATCAACCAGCTCAACCTGTTCCCATAGAAACCAGGCAGTACATTGCCACCAAGTCACGGCTTCTAGGGCTTTTTAAGTTGCCATCAGACCTTTATTCTACCTCAAGGAAAGCTGTGCTGATATCTGGAATTGGGGATGGCCACTCTGCCTGGAGTGCCAGCAGAAAACAGGACTGGGCTGGGAGTGCTCCTGTGTGCAGCCCCTGGGGAGGCTGCTCAAGGTTTGCTGTCAGTATTTGCATCCCATGGATCTATTCCAGCAGTACCTTTGTCTTCTGCATCTGCTGCCCACAAGCATTTGCTTCCTCTCTGATTGGTGTGTGCTTCTCAACAGGAAGCTTTCCTGGCACTGGGACTCCCTGCAGCAGAGCCCTCACCTTCCTCCATGGAAGGACTAAAGCCAAGGTGTGCACTTGGCTGGGCCAGAGCTGCTGAAAATCATGGAGCAGCCCCAGCTCTGGCTGGGGGCACTTGCACAGCAGCAGGGCTGCATGGCCATGTGTGTCACTGTGTGGCTGTGCCCATGTCCCAGCAGCACAGCAGGGGCTGAGCACCCAGAGCAGCAGAGAGACTGGGGTAACTCAGCTTCTCTGCTCTCCCCCTGCCACCCTCTCCAGGGTACGTGGAGCCAGAGGGTCCCTTTGCAAGGAGCCAGGCAGGGCTGCCCCAGGACCCCCCTGTGCTGGGGAGAGCAGCCACAGCCAAGTCTCAGAGCTACATCTGATGGGAAACATTAGATGTTTTGCCTGGAGTTTTGTTTTTCCATCAAAAGCTGCTAATGTAAATACTTACTGGCAACTATTCCCATTCTATTAGCAACAGGGCTTTGTACAGGCTGTGTTTCTTAGGGAAATACTTCAAAAATCTGCTTGATGTATTAAAATAATCTCCAATGTATTCATTTAATTTGCTTTTTTTTGCAGGAGTAAACTCCTGCACATATGGCTATGCTTATGCAACTAGTTGATTAGATTTTACATTTCCATGTGTAATTTATGGTAAATTGCCTACAGATTCATTAAAACCCCCCATCCTTCAAGTATGTCCTGAATAATCTCTTTCATGCATTTTATATAGAACAAAAGTGGGGTGATTCTGTATTCTAAAGGGACCCCTACTGATAAGAATATGCTGCATTTGTAGTAGTTTATGTGCAGGATATAGAAAATGTCTATCTTGCTGGGATTTTAAAGCCCCTCCAAAATATATTCCAAGGAATCAATCAGTACTGAGTCAATATACAAGAACTGCTTTAATAAATCCAAATAGATGTGTCAGGCTCTAAGTGAATTGCACATTAAATAAAATCCGATTCCTCATCAAATGTATTGATTGTTATCATTAAGGGCAGATTTGTTGGACACTTCAAGCAGGGGCTGACAGGAAGGGCAGCAGCAGAGTCTGCAGGTGTCCCTGAGAGCCCTGGCACTGCCTGGAGCCCCCTGTCCTGCACCAAGACCCCACAGCCCTTACCTGCTTCTTTAACCCTGTTGAGCAGCTCAGGACAGATTTTGCATAGATTTTCCCCAAAAAGCTGTTTTCCAAGTGTGGGTTTGATACACAATAACCTGTTCTAATGCCTGATTTATAAGGCATACGAAGTTTCTGACTGGAAAAAAAAGCCTGATGAATTCCCCAGGTGTCAGACTGATTTATCGACCATGTGGCAATTTATAAGTCATGTCAGCAACTTCATAAGTAACACAATTAATTCTGAAGTTATCCCCAAGTTATCCAAGTCCTGTGTCACTGATGAATACATGATGGGTCTGAGTTATAGGCTGGCTCTGAACTGTGACTGACTCTGAAATAAGTCACGAAGTTGAGTCATAAATCAGGAGGTGGATCCGGGCTCCCCGCGGAGCCGCGAGCGCCGCGCTGGGTCACACACCCCAACCCAGGCACTGGCTGCGTCATCCCAGGGCCTGGGACCAAAGGCTGGGATGTAAATCTGGGATCACACTGCATTGGGGGTGAGGAGCCCTCAGCACTTCTCAGAAAAGGACAAAAGCAGAAAAACCAGCAGGGAAGGAGAGCACTCCATGGTGCAGAGTGAGGCTGCTCCAAACTAGCCCGACACTGGGACAGCTCCTTCATCCCTGAGCACATATTCAGAGCAGCAGCAAGGCCACATTGACCCCATTGCTCATTTAGTGACCCCAATTAACAGGCAGGGAACCAAGGGGGTGGTGGTGCTGCTGCTGGTCTCACTGGTGCACACAGGCAGGTCCAGGTCAGTGTCTCCCATCCCTGTTCCTGCTCTATTCCAGTGACCTGACAACAAGCTTGGCCAGTGTGGCAAAAATCTTAGGCTATTAATGAATATGTCACTTACAGGCCCACTGGGTGACTTTAATTAAACTATGAAATGGCAAATACTAGGAAGAATTATGACATCCCACAACTGGTGAACCAAGTTCATTAAGCCCTTGGTGAGGAGGCCCCTTTATCTGACAGAGATCCCCCAGCTTGTGGCAAGAGCTAAGCCCAGTAGCCCAGGTGGCCCTGTTGGTGACAGTGGCAGGTGATACACCCTCCTCCTGCACCCTCAGGGTACTGTGACCATGGTTTCTCCTCCTGAGCATGACAGGACCAGCAACTCCTGCTAACTTCACATTGGCAAAAGGATGGTCCTTGGACTTTCCTCAGAGCATCAGACACTCCTCTGAAGGAACATCACAATGGGTTTCCCTTCTCCTTTCAAGGATCTTCTCCCCTTTGTTTGCTGGCACTTTCCCCAGACTGAGATGGAGATCCCCAGAAACCAGTGCCCTGGATGTTCACCAGCTTTTCTGTTTGTTTTCCTTCCTGTGCATAACCCAGACACTGTTACACTAAACACTCATTCCGTGTTCCCAGGAGGTGAGAGAGGCATCAGGGGAGACACATTTACATTTGTAAACTGCAATCAAATCCAATTAAGACCAACACAAATACTGATTAATAGAAGAGGGAACCTGATGCCAAGTCCCATGGCCCCACCCCAAACAGCACTGGCTGATTTTTTAAGAGTCAGATTTGCTTGTTCTCTTTCATTGCCAGCATCTGGTGGCACATCCCCAGGTCCTGGTTCTGAGGCAGCCACGCTGCACTGGGAGGTGATGCAGGGGAAAGCACCTGGTGACTGGGGCTTCTCCTGCCCAAAACACTGCATTTCTTTAAGCACTCACACTGGGGCCTGAGCTAAGCTCCATCCTGCTCCCATTTTGCACTGAGGCACTGGCTTCAGTTTATTTTGTTACAGCTGAATCCGTTGCAGCAAAGCAGTTAGAATATCCACTCCTGGCCTTGCCACCCAGTTCTGTGCCCCGTCCCTGATCACTTGCTCCATGGGGACTGATGCACCCTTTGTGGCTTCTAAAGCTCTCTGTTATCTCAATGCTATTTGCTGGAGAGAAGCCCATCCACTCCGGGCCATATTGGCCTGTTCTTGGATTGCTGAGGATTTATGGATGTAATATCCAAAGGTGTAGGTGAGATCTGCCAGATCCTGCACCCCCAGGTGGTTCATATTCCAATTTCTTGCCAAGGATTTTAACAGCATTCCCTGTGCAAATGGGAGGTTTGCTCTGCTTTATGCCTCCTGCACACAGCCCCTGATCCAAGTGAAGGCAGGGAAGCCAACCCCGAGTACTGATCAGACAGGGCAGAGTCACACAAGGGCAGTGTCAGAGAGCCAGAGACAGGGGCTCTGCTGGGTCCCCCCATGCCAGCACTCTGCAGAGTGAGCACTGACAGGGAGAAAGTCCCAAGAGCTTCCTCAGCCCCAGCAATTGTTGATCCCTTGAGCAGGGACAACAACATCATCAGTCAGGTCCAGGCAGGCTGTGAGGTCACAGCACCAGCTCTGTACCAGCTCTGGGCAGCACAACTGCACAGAGTTGATATTCTGCCTCCAGCTCAAGCTATTAACCCAACGTTCCTTTCAAACAAAATATCACAACGCTTAATTATTTTTTGGCTAACCACTTGCAAATGCCAGCAATTACTGAAAACATGACACTGTTGCCTTTTGCAAGGCACTGGAATCAGACAGTTCCCCTCTGACAGCAACACCTAAACCTGCATTCATCACATTGCAGATCAGTCACAAAAATTGAGAAGTAATTTGTCAAAGTCACAGCTGTGCTCAATAACTGATTGGAGATGACTAAGTAATTAATCAATAATGCATTCTCACCTTTCCATTTCCCTAGGTTTTGTGAAATGACTGGAAAACAACACATGGAGCTGTTGGGTTGGCACGTACTGGGGAGTTAATTCATCCCAGCACATCCCTTCCCTCCTGCCTGTCTGCAGGGCTGGCATGGAGCCCCTTTTGAGCAAAGCCCACTTTGCCCAAGCATCAGGCTTGGACACAGACTTCAATTCCACCAGGTTTTAACCCTGTAATCTAAATAACTGTTTATCAGACATACTATTTAGTCTGAATTCTTCTTTCTTAATGTTGCTGAAATTATGTCCTCTGCATTGCAAACCAAGAATAACCCATCAGTGTAATGAAAAAATTTCCCTGCAAGACCAAGCTGCTATTCCTTGAATGCCCTAAGAGTGATAATTTGATTAATGAAATGGTCAGATTTGCAGTACTGTAGGGCTTTTCAACTCAGAATCAATCACTTTACATCTATTACTCAGAGCTGGATTCCCTGAATGCTTTGTTGAACTCTTTGAAAACTCTGTTAGTAATATTAAGTAATTAGTAAGACTAATGCTGCTGCAGAGCTATAACCTGGGCAGAATCCAGATTGATTAGAGTTAATTATCTTCTGCCTGCTTAAATAATTTATATCCTGTTTTCCCCACTGTGTAAGAGCAGGAAACAGAAGAACCGGCCCCGTCCTCAGCCCGGTGCACGCGGGACGGAGCCCGGGGCGCTGCTGGAGGATCCTCCAGAAAGACCCCCCTGGTCGGGGGCTGCCGCCTCCTCCTCCTCCTCCAGGTCCCTGCGTTTTGCAGATCCAACCCCCAGCCGCACAGGCCCATCCCATTCCCCACTCTATGGGGCTCCCGCTGCAGCCGCTGGGAAGCCAAAACATTTCCACGGAATTGAGGGGGCTGCCGCCTCCCCCTCCTCCTCCTCCTCCTCCTCCTCCAGGTCCCTGCGTTTTGCAGATCCAACCCCCAGCCGCACAGGCCCATCCCATTCCCCACTCTATGGGGCTCCCGCTGCAGCCGCTGGGAAGCCAAAACATTTCCACGGAATTGACGGGTTCTGTTCGGCCCCGAGGGCTGGTGCAGCCCCGTATGCACGATCCTGGTTTTCTAATCAAAATTTCATTATTATAAATGATTGCAAAAGTTTTCATATTCTACATTTTGTCTTTGCAGAGAATTTTAAACACTCTTTAATTCTGTCCCTTGGTGCTGTATGTGTAACAATCCCACTGATCCATATTCATATCCTCCCAGCCTTGAAGCTCCTGCAAAGACTTCACAACTCTTGGAATAGTTTTCTTGAAGTTCTGAGCATCCATAATATTTATTATTGTTATTAATGCAACATCATTTCAGCCCCTCTAATAACCACAGGATGTGATTCCCAGTGTATTTAAATAATTGATTGACTTAGAGCTCACTAATAGGAATGAATCCACAAGCATTTAATTGGATCATTGCTTGGTCCTGGCTCCATGCAGTGTATCATGTTGCCAATAAATCAATGTGCATCTCTCAGCTCCCAGGATCTCTCTCCTGGTGGCTTAGAGGACCAGGCTGAGATGGGCAGCACCAGGGTGAGGGGGGAGAAGAGGACAGCAAGGGGACGTGAGGCTCAGGCAGCTTCCAGAGCCCGAGGAGAGCACATCATTAGGAGGCAACCAAGCACGTGCTAATTTGTCCAAGTCTGCAGTTAGCAGGCATTTATTAGGGATGTCTGACTTATTCATATTCAGGTCAACCTGTTACTATTATATTAACCTCTGTTGACACTGATGCACACAGAAAAATGCAAACCAGGCTCCCAGGAATTGTGTCACCAGAGGCATCTCCTGAGCAGAGCACAGCCACCTGCCTCCTGCCCTGCCACTGCCACCCCTGGGCCTGTCCCACAGACACCACAGCTGCCCAGGTGCCCGAGTCCTCCCTCAACCATAGTGGGTTTCATCTTCCCAGAGCATCTTTTGGGGATATTTTCATTTTTACATATTTGACCCATTAACTAACTACATTTCTCAGTAATCCCCAGCAAATGAGCAGCACAGAGAAGAGCTCTGGTCCAAGCTAATCCCTTTGTTATCAAGGAATGCTACAGGAATCAAATACCAGCAATAAATCAGGAGATTAACAAGCTGGGAAATGCACAAATTAAATTGCAATCCCCCTGAGCTGCTTTTCCAAGCCAGTGGCACCATTTCTGCCCCTGCAGCCTCCCTCACAGGTCAGGAGTCTTTGTATACAAAACAGATTTTGCTTTAATCCCGGATGCCCTCAGGCAGCAGAGCCTGCCCAGAGAAAGCCCATGCAGCCCCCCGGCCATGTCCCACCACAGGACATGCAGGGGTCTCTCGTGCAGGTGGCAGGTCCCCACAGACCCCTCCAAGCAGGGGGAGCCAGGTGACCCCCTGCTGTGCAGTTTGCTCCAACTCTGCTTTTATTGCACAGTAACATCTGAATGAATATTTTATTCATTCCTTTAAGAACATCTCCACAAATGCACAGTTTAATAAAACATGAGGACGTGTTTTCAGAGGAACCATCTAATGCTTCAAACAGCCCCATCACAGCTCATTAACCAGAGCAAACTCCGGGCAGTTGTATTTTTATCTTGGAGACTCTAATGAAGTTCCACCACATGCCAGGTGATGGGGAAGGTGCCCATAACTCCATGTCCCCACATCCTGGCAGCAGGGCCAGGACTGCCTTTGGCTGCAAGTGGGATGGTCTGTGCACACTGGAGCCCTTTGCTTCAACCCTGCAGCCCCTGCTCACACAGGGCTGCACCTACAGGCACACCAGAGACCAAAGCCCATGCAGCCCCCCGGCCATGTCCCACCACAGGACATGCAGGGGTCTCTCGTGCAGGTGGCAGGTCCCCACAGACCCCTCCAAGCAGGGGGAGCCAGGTGACCCCCTGCTGTGCAGTTTGCTCCAACTCTGCTTTTATTGCACAGTAACATCTGAATGAATATTTTATTCATTCCTTTAAGAACATCTCCACAAATGCACAGTTTAATAAAACATGAGGACGTGTTTTCAGAGGAACCATCTAATGCTTCAAACAGCCCCATCACAGCTCATTAACCAGAGCAAACTCCGGGCAGTTGTATTTTTAACTTGGAGACTCTAATGAAGTTCCACCACATGCCAGGTGATGGGGAAGGTGCCCATAACTCCATGTCCCCACATCCTGGCAGCAGGGCCAGGACTGCCTTTGGCTGCAAGTGGGATGGTCTGTGCACACTGGAGCCCTTTGCTTCAACCCTGCAGCCCCTGCTCACACAGGGCTGCACCTACAGGCACACCAGAGACCAAAAGCCATGACGAGTTTCTTAGGGACAAGTATCAGCAAATCAGAAAGGTTCTGAACCACACACTCTTGTGCCAGCACACCCACAAGTACCAGAAGAGTTGGATGCACCCTTCCCCTGTTTGAATTATATGTATTGGATGAGATGGACTCTGCTTCTCTTCATATAAGCCAGTTTGGGATTTCTGCATGTCTAAATATGTCCTCGGAGCTGCAGAGGAATTTTTATCCATAGCTGAGGTGATTCTAGCAAAACTCTTGCTGCTTGTGGAAACAAAGTTTTTCTTTTTCCTTTGAATGTTTTGTAAAGGCAGCAATAAAGCAAATGGCCAGAAAGGAGGAAGGGGGGTGAAAGCAGGAGGATGTCCCAGCTCTGTCCAGGGCAAGTCCCCACCAACAGCATCCCCCAGAAGTTCCTGTTCTGGAAAGGCTTTGCACTGCTGCTGACAGGTAGCACTGATTTATAAAGCAGAAATAAATGAGTCTGCTCTGCAATTTCACCTATTTTTTTCTCCCATTTCAATTTGCCATCTTTCAGCATAATGCTGGGTGGTTAATTATGTTTCCATCCTATTTCTCCACTAATACCCCCCTGCACTGCACGTCGGAGCCGTTCAAAGGGTTTCATTTTACCTTTCATTTCACCTCCTAGTGCAGCTCTAAATTTAGTCAGCTTGTAATTTGGGGGTATTTTATACATTATGCCTTTATTATTGCAAAGTAAAATCGAATCCTAGTCTTTTAATTTAGTCTCTAATAATTCTCCACCAAACCTTAATACAAAAGAGTTTTGAGGGGTTTTTTATGATTTTTTTTTCTGAAGACTAATTGGGGTGTAATTATAATACCCAGGGAGATTACATTGAAAGTACCCTAATTGTGACAGTTTCCTCTGACTAATTGCCCCTTCTGTAACTTGCAAGTCTTGGCTGTGCAAGTTCCCCATCCCTTCCTGCGCTCACGTGTCAAGCCCAGCCTCGGGGGGTTTGTGCCCGGGGCTGTCCCTGGGCCAGGACCTCTGGGTCTCTAAACCTCCTCTGCTCTCCAGGGACTCCCAGCATGGTCCCATGCAGGGAGGAGGGGACAGGGTGTCTGAGGCAGCTGGGGGCCAGGGGCTGGCACTGTCCCACCGAGAGACCACAGACCCAGAGCATCACACAAAGCCCTTGCCAGAGGAGCGGGCATCTGGCAGCCACAACACAGGGACATTCACAGGGACATCACCTTCTTCTTTGACTTAATGCTCCTGCTAGCAACCTTCTGCCTGTTTGGCCAACAGAAAGCGTGCTGGCAGCAGGAGAGCAGCCCTACTGCCTCAGACACTGCACATCCCCCTGACAGACCAGTACAAACCAGAAGCAGGAAAAGGGAGATATGGGAAGGTTGCTAAGAAAGCACAAAGCAAGAGCACCTTTTCAGAGCCACACTGCTCCAGTACAGTCCCCAGAAGAGAAGCACCAGCAGCTGAAGCTTCTACAGGTCCCCAGCCCAGCTGCCCTGGCACGGGGCTGGCAGGGAGGGCAACGACAGCCTGGCCCCAGAGAGACCCCAGGGACAGCCCAGCTCCTGCACCAATAACAGAAAGAAAGCAAACATCAGTACCTCTTCCTGGAGCAGCATCTCCTCCTGGACCAGCAGCACCTACCTTCCCTGCCCCATGTCCTGTATTTAAGTTCTCCCCGACTAATTGCCTATTGCCCTCAGCTGCATTTGCCCTGCAGCGTTTAACCCCTTCCCATCCCCAGCTCCTGCTCTTGTAAATCACAGTTAAAAGCTTCTATTGAGCCAGAGAATTAAGCAGTTGTACGAGCCAACGGGGTTGGCATGGCCAGGGCAGCTCCCCAGCCCCCCCAGCCCCAGATCTGGTCGGCAAGACAAGTGCTCCCAGCTCCCTTCACTGCGGAATGAAAAGATCCTTTGCAGAGATTAAAATGAATTTATTCGTTCGCAGTCTGGTATTTACATCACATCTGCAGCAGGTATCAGGTACCCCGGTACAAAACCGCCCCAGCAGGGAGTCCCGCGGGGCCGGGCTGACCCGGCCCCCTGCCCATGGGTGGGGGCATCCCCTGCGGGTGCCGGAGCAGGGCTGGGCTGCCAGGGCAGTGCTGGCCCCGCTCCCTGCAGCGATGCTTTTGCTCAGGCCATGTGCCACCCGCCCCTCCGGCCCCCAGCGCAGCACCCCCGGGGTCCCCATCCCTGCCAGCGCTGGGAGCACAGGGTTCCTGTCCTCTCCCCATCAAGCTGCCACTCCATGGGAAATGCTGTGACGTGGGGAAGGTCACAAGCTTCGGGCCAGGAGATGGCACGTTTTTCTTTATTTGTAATGAATGCAATGAAGCCTGGCTGGGGCTGGGCCTCGGGCTGGGCACCGCACCAGGCTCACCAGACCTGAGGGCTTCCCCCGCACATTGCCCTGAAACTCGATCGCAAACACAAGCAGTAACGTGGTGCCTGGGACTTGCGGGGCAGAGAACAGATATTAAACTCACAGCCTGACTGATGCAGTTACAGAGGAAGCAGACACCAGCAGCAGGCTCCATGGGGACACCACCACGGCCACACCACTGCACCCACCGCAGGCGGTGTCGGCAGGTCACAGGGCAGGGACAGCACGATGCTGCAGGGCTGGGAGCAGCCCCGGGTGATGAGGTCAGCAACAGGGAACCCACCACCTGAGAGCCAGACACTGGAGGGTCCACACAACCATTGATGTCCTGATTCCTGATGGCAACCCGGGTTCTGCATCTTGGGCAATGGGAAAGGCGACTCACAGCGACGGTTTCAGCTATTTCAGGACAAAGCCCGTTTTGGGGGACCACCCTCTGTCTGTCTCTGCATTGTCAGCAGCTCTTTCACTACTGAGTATTTTACTTAAGAGGACAGGAAAATAAGTCCAGTTCTCGGTCAGCGTGTCCGTGGGGCAGGAGTGTTGCATCTGCGCTGGGTTCCCCGCTGGCAGTCCCCAGGGGGGCTGGGGCTCGGCAGACGCTGTGACCCGGGACCCGGCGCAGTCCCAGCAGCGCGGCAGCCCCGGGGGTCCCGGCTCCCCACGGACGGGCCGGCCCACGTCCCACTTCTCCGGCTCAGCCCAGCAGCAGGGCCAAGCCGAGGGGGTCGGTGGCTGCAGAGCTGCACGGTGGCTACCGTGTGACCTGCGGGCAGAGGAGAGGGGTGGGCTGGACGCTGACAAGGAAGAGGGTCCATCTGTTTGCAGCGGGCGAGTCGCCCAGCACCCCAACACCCCCATCTGGTGGCCCTGCCCGTGAGTCGTCAGCGAACAGCCTCGGGAAATGGGAATGTGGTTTGCATCATTTACTGGGGTGGTGGTTCAACATCTCAACTTGCAGATTGTGCACCCTGTGCTCTGGCTACAGCTTCCACAGGAGTCTGTCTGCCGAGGGGCCCTGCAACAGCAAACCCAGCCCCCCCAGTTCGGTTCCTAAGGAGGCACCCCACATTATTCTGCAGCCAGACGTGTGCATTTCCAAAGCACAGCCAGCCTAGGGTGAGGGACCCAAAAGGGTGCTGGGAAGGTGGCCACAGCAGCCAGGGTGAGGCCAGCAGAAGCCCCAGGGTCCTGCAGGTGGGAACAGTCTTCAGCAAGAGCCCAGGTCTGCAAAGCTAGAGCAGAGGCTTTGGGTTAAGTTAAGGAGAAAAACAAACCAACAATATTAAGATGAGAAAAAGACAATGAGGTAAATGGAGTGTTGCAGTTTCTCATCAGTGATGGATGCCCAGGGCCGAGGAACATTCTCGGACATCCATAAAAACACTTGAGCATGAAAGTGCTTTCCGGGCATAAAAATAATAACAAGAATGCACAAAATTCCAACATCACTTAATACGATAATTTTATGGCAGGGGATGTAGGGTGAGAAAAATGAAAGCATAAGGAGTAATTACACTCAACAGTATGAACAATGATTACAAAATTATGCAACTGATTAACCATGGCATATACGTAATTACTAATGAGTTTGATAAAATTTTAATTATACCTTGTTCTTTGGGGCATTCAGCAAGCCATGAAAATAAAAATCATGTAGCTC